TTCTTACCCTTTTTACTCATTTCTTCAAATCCTTGATTTGTATTGAATATCTAAGTGCGTAATATTTATTCCATTACTTAAATCTTGTTTACGGGAATATTCATTATTAAGGTTTGGATTAAATCTCTTGTTATGCTTACGTATTATGCTTACATATTGAATGATTTTTATTAATTATGAAGTGAGTTATGGTTTCTTTAATTATTCTTGTTCTTTAATGTCTTAAGGGATTAGCTAATCCTAGGACTCGCGCATTTACTTCGATTTAGACTTGGAAAAGGCAAACTCGGGGTTGGGGTAGATTAATTAACAAGAACTTGAGGCATTAACCCTCATTTTAATTCTATCTAGGAATAAGATTGAACTACTTGTAGCCACATTTGGGTGTACTTAACCCTCCTAATTGTTTTAGGAATAATTCAATTAGGAAGTCTCGTTAGTCTTCGGAAGAAGCTAATATAGAATCATTATCCGAGACTAATTAACAAAACTCGCTCATATTTGTAAAATCGTGAAATACATTGGATCGTTACTTGAGTATAATTTCCCTTGTATCCACGCTTGTAGCCATTGATCATTTACTTGCTTTCTAAGTTACCTTATATTTCCGTTTTAGTTATAATATTTTCTCAAAACCCTTTATTAGTGTTTGGCTTAGCATAAAAAGGGATAAATCTCTTACTTGCCTAATCATCTACATATTTTTCCTTGTGGGATACAGCCCCGACTCATAGTTGGATATATTATATTGCATGTAAACATGTCCGCTTGATCTTTGAGGAGTGGATTTGGACGTTATCAATATACAGTTGAGCTTGAGTTTAATTATAGAACCTTTTTTGTTCTCAAAAGATATGTTATTCCTTCCCTTCCAGGGGGCCCATCAAAAACCAACTTCCTCTACTTATCCAGCTTGCAAAGTAAAATAGCTGCTGGCATTTAAGCCACAAAATGCAAATACAAACGGCTGAAGAGAACAGAGCAAGGATAATCTGCCAAAGATTACAAAGCATTTCTATGCTAATTTACAAAACCAAAGTACTTCCCCATGTTCAGATGGCTGTACATGCCAGTGAGAGAAGCAATAAAAATAATTTTTGATTGTTAGTAAAAAAAAAATGTTTTTTGAATGAAGTCATAAAGAAGTCCTATGGCTCCGGAAGAACGCAAGAGATCAAATGGTTTTTCACATTATGATACAACGCCTCAGCATTAATATTGAAGACTTGCAATGAAACTCGTAAAGAAATTTCAACACCTAAATTGCAAAAAAGAAAAAAGAGAGAGAGAGAGAGAGAGAGAGAGAGAGAGAGAGAGAGAGAGAGAGAGAGAGAGAGACTTTTTTAGTGAGGCCTGATATTACAACTGATCCAACTAAAAAAATATACTACATAGAAGAACAGCAACTGAAATCCCTTAATTCCAATAACTGAAGAAATGAAAGAGGAAAAAATATGAATCAACTACTCCTCAATATCAAACAAGTTTGAATTAATTATATAAATCCATTCCTCTCAATCAGACCCATTTCATTCGGATACTAAATAATTTATCTTTTATATAAATCATCTAAAATATTAATTCTGGGCTCGTTTTATTCCAATAGCACAAATTAAAAATTCTCGAAAAGTAAAATCTCATATGCATAATACTTATCAATCGGTCTCAATTACAACGTAGCTGGGGTTGAACATATAAATATCATATATTCATTCCGCTCCATTCAGACCCATTATATAACAAAACTAGACAAATTGCATTAACACAGTTACGAGCTCTTTAATCTGAAAAATGTTTTTTCTAAATGGAAGAGGCAAAAATTCAACAAATCAAAGTCAATCCACTAAGCTTCTACACAAACTAGATGGGGTCGACTATATAAATCCATCATATCTATTCAGCTCATTTTGGACACATTTCATTTCACTACTAAACAATTATCTTCTAACACAAAAATCATTCAATCAGATGCCTTTATACAAAACTAGTTGGCACATTATACGAATCCTCTATTTCCATATCGATACTAAATTTTTTTTCTTTTTTTTAACATAAATTATGAGTTTCATATAACTATACGAATAGATCAAAGAGTGATGTTGGATGAAAACATACTCGGAAGGAACGAGAGAAGAGCGGAGAGTGTTGAGAGGGCAGGGATTAATGGCGAAACGCCTTCCCTCACGTCTCAAAGCAGCCATCGCCATTGCGAGATCTGATGATTCGATCAAATCGCTTATTCTTCTTCCTCCTGATTGTTCTTGTGCAGATCGACAACTTTCGCTAGGGTTTTCAATGTCTTGAAATGACAGACTCAAAAGGGAGTGTACATTTTCCCACGGTCGATGTTTCAAGCAAACGACTCCGTATTATGTTGATCGACTTTTTTACAGATTCCGCATTAGATAAATAATAAAAATTAGATTCTTTTTTTTTTTTTGGTAATTCAAATATTATTAATTCAAGGCAACAAATTACATGAATATATGGCTAACTCAGCAAGTATCAATCACTATTTCCTATCCCTTCTATACTCCTTATTCCTATTTGCCTAGTTTACATGGTAGACTTCTATTTTCCCCCTTCCTATACAAACTTGTATTGTAGGACATCCTTGAGTTTACCTACAGCTCTAATATTACAAATGTAGATAATTTCTCTCACAATGTTTTGCTTATCTCTATACACCTTCTCAAAGACTCTATGATTTCATTCCACCCATATGCTATACACTGTTTCAGCTGGAACCATTCTCATCAGTTGCCCTTTGGTTGTTTTCTTCTTTGCTTTCCCCATGAACCAACATAGTAACTGGTTCTATGTAGTAGCTGTAACTGGAATTTGTAGCCATTTGAATATGTCATACCATAGCTCCATGACAATAGAACAATTATAGAACAGATGATGATGGTGCTCTGGTTGACATTTACAGAATACACAAGTAGTATCCACGTTCATGTTCCATTTGCTCAGTCTGTCAGCCGTTAGCATCCTTTCTTGTATGACCAGCCACATAGAAAATATAGCTTTGGGTCTAGCTAAGTTGTTGAACATGACTGCTTTCCACTCTACCTTGTCTAATACTCCCAGTTGCTGTAAGTATATTTGCCTGATGATACTGCCTTTGCTCCCTTGGTTTCGATTCTGAAGATTTGGCCCTTTGATAGTCAGAATTTTTTGAACCATCCAGCTAGCTTGTTTTGGCTCCTTGATACTCAATATAGGCTGCCCTTTTATATAGTACATATGCACCTATTTGATCCATAATCTGTCATTTTTTGAAGCTAGGTCCCATTGTAGTTTGAGAATAGCTGCTTTGTTCCGTTGCTTCAGGTTTATGATATTTAAGCCCCCAGCACTCTTTGGTCTGCATACTCTCTCCCAGGAGATCAGTGCTCGTTTGGTTATTTCATTTGTCCCTGACCACATAAAACTCCTACAATAGGCTTCAATAGTTTTGATCACCTTGGTTGGAATCAAGAACATTTGGGACCAATAGGATTGGATACCAAACAGTACAGCTTTTATAAGTTGGATTCTTCCTGCATATGATAATTTCTTTGCAGTCCAGGATGAAATTCTTGCTACAATCTTTTCAATCAAGGGTTGCCATTGAATTACCTTCATTTTTCTAGTAGTTAGAGGGACTCCTAGGTATTTGAAAGGTAATTCACCTCTTATATAGCCCAACTGCTGCAAGATGTCTTCATGTTCTGTGTCTGTTACCCCACCAAAGTAAACTGAGCTTTTACTTAGATTAGCTTGGAGACCTGAGGCTGCAGAGAAAACCTCAAAGCATTGTTTTAGCATTGGCACAGACTGCTTATCCCCCTTAGCAAATAATAACAGGTCATCTGCAAAACTCAAGTGAGTAATGCCTAGTTTTTTGCACTTTGGGTGGAAGCTGAATTTTTTCTTGTCCTTCGGTTCTTTCAGTAGCCTAATGAAGTATTCCATGGCTATAGCAAATAGGAAGGGTGACATTGGATCACCTTGTCTGAGACCTTTTGCTACATGAAAAGGTTCAGCCAATTCACCATTGATCAATATAGAATAACTCACACTTTGGATACAAGCTGCTATCCATTGTGTAAATCTGTAAGGGAATCCCAATCCTTCCATAACCTGTAGGACATAACTCCATTCCACACTGTCATAGGCTTTTTGCAGATCCACTTTGATCATGCATCTAGGTGATATGTGCTTTCTTGAGTAGGCTCTAATCAGTTCATGGGCTAGAATAGTATTGTCTGCACCTTTCCTTCCAGGTATAAAGCCAGATTGTGCCTCATCAATTATGTAGTTCATAACTTTCTGCAGCCTAGATGCTAAAAGCTTAGCAATGATTTTGTACAGAACTGAGCAGCAAGATATAGGCCTATAATCTTTTATAGTAGCAGGATTAGAAATCTTGGATAATAGAGTGACAGTTGTGCAATTAATGACCCTGGGCATTGTTCCTGTTTCAAAGTACTCTATGACAGCTTCATAAACATCTTCCTTCATTATATCCCGTGCTTTCTTAAAAAATACTGCATTGTACCCATCAATCCCAGGAGCTTTATCATTTCCAATAGCCTGAATACATTCATCAACTTCCTGTCTGGTTGCAGCTTTAATCAACTCCATAGATTGTTGTTGAGTTAGTTGAGGTCCCTTCTTCATTGTTTGCATATTCACAGCAGGTAATTGAGCAACAGCTTTCCCCATAAGTGATTTGTAAACGTCTACAATCTCTCTCTTGATACTCTTTGACTCTGTCAGCATATTACCATTCAAAGCTGTTAGGGTTGTAATGTTTTTCCTGTATGCTCTTTCTTTCATCACTGCAAAGAAGTATTTATTGTTTCCATCTCCTGTTCTGATCCATTGAGCTCTTGATTTTTGTTGGAAAATCTTTTCTTCAATGAGTGACCATTTCTTTAGTTTTTCTCTAGATGCTTTCTCCATCATTCTTAATTGATCAGTGTAGCCATTCTTCATCTCTTGTTGACATTCAATTATCTCCCTTCTTGCTTGGTCAATTTTCCCTGCTGCATCTCTGAACTCCTGTTGTTTAAACTCTTGAAATTTGCTTTCATTTCTTTCATTCTATTCCATATGGTTACTAGTTTGCACTGATGTTGTCTTCCTTGCCATCCTTTAGTAACTATGCTTTGGAATGCCTCATCCTCAGCCCAAACATTTAAGAACCTAAATGGGATTTTTACAGACTTCCTTTGTTCAAACTTCAGGGACAAAGGAGAATGATCTGATATGAATGGATCTCCCACTTCAACTGTTAGGTGCCCAAACTTCATCATCCATTCATTATTTCCTAGTGCTCTATCAATTCTGCTAATTACTCTCTCCACTCCCGTTTGACCATTAGACCAGGTGAAATAGTCTCCCCTCCAAGGAATATCAGTAGTCATGGTATCTAAGCAGAATTCTGCAAAGTCTTGGATATCAGCCAATGTTACTTCCTGTCTTGATATTCTGTCTTGAGTAGTCTTAATTGCATTAAAGTCTCCCCATATGAACCATGGTTGATTAATAGATTGAGCCAGTATCTTTAGCTTGTGCCACAGTCCTTTCCTCAAGTCTACACTGTTATATCCATATGTCACAATCATAGCACAATTCACATTAGTGCTAGTAACATTACAATGAATAAACTGTGCATCCTTAACCACTGTATCCACCTGCCAAGTGTTTGTATCAAACATAATCCATATTCTACCATTAGCTGCTTGGTCATAGTTGTGCACCAGTTCCCAGTTATGAGCTATTTTAGGGGCAATTACAGAAGCTTTATGCTGTTTAACTCTAGTCTTTACAAATCCAGCTAGTGTTATGTGTTTGTCTTTGATGTATTTAGCTAACTCTTTCTGTTTATGCCTTTGGTTTGCCCCCCTTACATTCCACATAAGCATTGTCATTTCAGATGATCATTTGTACCACCTCTATCTGGTGGTTGCCTATCCTCTTGTCCTCCTTCTAGAATCCAAAATGCATTTTGTGTGGCAATAGAGAAATTCATACCAATCTGTGCATTGCTAGAACTAGTAGCACCTTCATTTTGCCCTTTTGAGTTAGTCTCTTTCCCATTCTTCTGATTGTGCTCCTGTGTCTTTGTCATTGCTGTCCTACTAGTTCTAGGGGATTTGTTGTGCTCCATATTCTATGCAGGTTCCTTAACATTTATCACAGCTTGATCAGTTATTGTCTGTGCTACACTTGTGTTCTGTGCCATCTTTTCCTTGCTTCTCCACTCTTTGACTGGTTGTTGTGTCTTTCCATTTGGTTTCTGCATTTACTTCCTTTGCATTTCCTCATTTCGTTTACACACATGTCCCATTTGTTGACATTCAGGGCAGAACTCAGGCTGCCATTCAAACCTCACCACTTGCTGGTGTAACTTTCCCAATTGATCCCTTATTTTGACTTCATTTGGCAATGGTTTCGTAATGTTAACTTCAATCAACATCCTAGCAAAAGATATTCTAGATTGCTTAGCTGTACATTCATCTGCAAATAAGGGAATTCCAATTGCACTTCCTAGCCTGCTAAGCGAGTCCTTACTCCAGTAGGTCATAGGTAAATTGGGAAAAGAGACCCATAGAGGTATCTCTTTCAGAAAAGTGGCATCAAACTCAGCATCTGGAGACCATTTCTTCAGAATGATTGGTCTATTGTTTATCGTGTACGGCCCTCCATATAACAATTCCTTGAAATCTTCTTCCACTGTAAACTTTGTTATGTAATATCCCCTGTCATGCCAGAATAGCTCAGAACATGTCGTAGACCAATTTTGATTTATGTATCGCTTCATGTGATTATACCAGGTAATTTCCCCAATTACCGCAACAATCAATGAATGTTTCCATTTTTCAGCTTCCCTTGCTGTCTCCTTAGGATCTAGTTGAATAACTACACTTCCGTCAACAATCGTCGGTGGAATGTAAGACAAAGCAATGCCATTAGAAGCCATTCTATTCCTAGCGAACAAATTTGCCCATACCGGGGCTTCTGCATCTTTGTTTGGCTCCGATCTCTGAGAATTTTCACTTGCAAATACAGTTGTTTGAATTTTTTCTATGATCGTTACATTCGAAGATGAAGGCATGCAATCATTCAACATTTTACTCTTCCCATTATCAATCTTTGTTGTTCTAACTTCCTCAGTTACTTCTATGTAATTATTCAAAGTAGAATTGTTACCATTCATTTCCGCCATTGATGCTTCCGCCGGTGTTGTTGGTTGCGATTTCTGAGAAATTACAGATGTTGATGGAGATGAATTTGACGATAGTGAGCTTCCTAGTGCTAGAATTTGTGTTTTCCTTGGTCTTCCTGGTCCATTCCCTTTGCCTCTCGCCATTGATAGCCACTTTCCCCGCCAAACGTAGCCACCGCTTGGTGGAGATCGTCAATGGAGAAGAATGCGGTTATAAATATTAGATTCATTCTAAAAGAAATTGTTGTTTTAATTATTATTTTAATATTTAGGTTTTAAAATCAAATAAAAATCTTTTACTGAATTCTTTTCTTATTTTATCAATACAGAGAATTTTAATACTTAAGTCTTTAGAAAAAATTAAGATTTTACCTTAAAAAATAAGAGAATTTAAATACTAATCTCATTGTAGAATCTCATTTTTTTGGCCCCAATTTATTGATCTTAAGAAGTGAATTATCTTTTTCTTTATTTTTTTTTGTTTTCCGTTTAAGGGGATAATTAATTTTCAGTATAATGCTACGACATAGGAGGCATAATTTTATTTAAAAATAATAGTCAAAGCTTCGAAAGCCTAAAATTGAGCTTGAAATTGAGTGTCCAATCACTCTATGTCTGTAATTTCATATATAAAGAGGAAGATTAAAAACTCATCGATCTCCTTACCGCTCCGTGGGGGTCTTCATTCACTCTTCTCTTTCTTTCTCTACTTCTAGAAAAATTACATGTCGTTTCATAATGTATCGTATTTTATTATATTGTATTGTACTGTATTGTTTAATGAATATAATCTTTGGATAGATTGTATCGTTTGTCATCGTTTCATGATGTCACGCACCAAAAATACAAAGAATAAATTTGTAACATTACTAAGAAAAAATAAGATACGGAGTAGAATTATTATATTAAAAAGTAGGGTAAAGTAAAGAAATATGATTATTTAATAATAAAGAAGGGAAAAATAAGAGAAAAAATAAGGTAACTACGCCACCACACCAAATCTGTTGTTATATAAAGTGGTATACTTGTATAGGGTAAAATATGTTATATTAAATGATCGCATAAGGAAGTGACACGTGGAGCCGAAGGCAGAGGATAGCTGAAACCGAAGGCAACTATTCCGTCTGTTACCGGAAAGGATGATACCCACAAAGATGAAATAAATGCATGCAACTCGGTAGCATTTAATGAAGAATATTCTACAGCATTTAGTACATGCCCGTTACAAAGAATATGGCATTCATGCCCGCCATTACACATTCTTCAATGGCCCTCACAATTGACATTAAAGAAGGGCTTGATCCTATGACCTTGTTCCCTAGGTGCAGCTATAAATAGTGAGCTCTATTATCATTGTAGAGGACACGAATTTTCTGCCAAACATACGCTATACTCTATTCAAAGCTTAATATAACTTTAGCTTCTTGCTTTTTGATTTCATTGTTGTTGTGCCCGGAAGCCTTGCTCCCGGAACTGTTATTTCTGCTACGTCTCCATCTCAAGGCTAAGTATTGAATATCTATATAATTCATCAATTATTTCAGGATAAAATTAATTCACTTGTCTAGAAACAACGTATAAATTCAACTATACCGTTTTACGGATAAATAATTTGGCACCCACCGTGGGGCCTAGACAGTTGTGTAATTAAGTTGGTCTTGCCTCTTTTATTAACATGTTTTGATTATTTGTTCTAAGCAAAAAATTACAGAAAATGGCAGATAATGGTGTTAACAACACGCACAATCTTGAGGCCCAAGAAAATCAGCCTCAGCACGAGAATTCAATCAGTGATACCTGCAGTGAGGGGAACGATGCCACACCGGTCCACGGCAGGCGGTATCCGCGACACGTTCGGGAGGCGACTCATGATCATGCTGAAGAGGAGCATGTCGTTGAAGCGGTAAGGGTCCTGTAGGAGCAATAAAAGGTCATTTTAGGTCATCTCACACGACAGGATAAGGTTATAACATAACTAAAACAGGCATTATCGGGTGCTTCCAATAACGCGAATGGACGAGGTCCAGTTCCTCCCGGTGCTCCTGCAAATCAAAAAACGCAGAGGGTCGACAACAACACCCCGAAAGGTGAGGTCAGCTTCGATGGGGCCAAGGGGAGCGGATCCAATCACAACAACGAGAGCGATCCCTTCAAAAGCGAACTCCTACGATTTATGAGGGAAGTGAATGCCCGCATGGACCAAATCCCGGGTGCACCACCAGTGCTGAAAGGACCGGACTCAAAGAAGTACACTCAATTACCGCAAAAATCGAGCACGGCACCAAAATTGATCCCGAAGCGATTTAAAATGCCCGACATGCCAAAATATGATGGGACTTTGGACCCTCAGGAGCATATTACCACCTATACAACGGCGGTAAAGGGGAACGATTTAGCTCCCCACGAGATCGAATCAATTTTGCTAAAGAAATACGGAGAGACTCTCATGAGGGAGCCTTGACGTGGTATTCGATGTTGCCTGAGCATTCCATAGATTTTTTTGAGATGCTCGCGGATTCTTTCATTAAGGCCCATGCCGGGGCTAGAAAGGTGCACGAACTGCACAAGGAGAGTCCGAGTTGCTGTGGGAATTCGTAACCCGGTTCTAGAAAGAAAAATATTGCTCCCGGCTGTTCTGGATGAATAGACGGCTAAAGCATTCACTAAGGGTTTGAATCCAAGAAGTTCTGGAGCTTTCCGAAAATTGAAGGAAAGCTTGTTCGAGTTCCAAGTGACAACTTGGGCGGATATTCACAACCGGTACGAGTCAAAGAAAGGATTGATGATGATCAGCTCGGCTTCCCAACGTCAGTTAAAGGTCATGAGAAGAATAAAGAGAAATCAAAAGACAATTTTGACACAGATAGACGATCTTCGGAAGCTGATTTTTTCCCTATGAACGGGCCGAAAGACGCGGCAGAGGTTTCCGGTCGGTAGACAGGTTCGTTACTGGTAGAAGAACTAATCGCGACCGAAATACAGATCATTACAAGACAAGGAAACGACAGGTTCTAGAGATCCTTCCTACCCCAAACTATCAAAATACAACTTCAACGTCAGTGTAGTAATGTTGGTATCGGCTATGAGGAACATTAAAGAAGCACGATTCCCAAAGCCGATAAGGTTTGATCCCAGCGAGAGAAACCCTAATTTATGGTGCGAATACCATAGTACGAACGGCCATCGGACTGGGGATTGTTGGCATCTGCATGAAGAGGTGGCGACACTACTGAAAAAATGGCCATCTCAGGGAATTCTTAAGTGACTGGGCCAAAAAAAACTACGGCTGTAACCATGATAACACGGAGCCCTCAAAAACAGGAAAAGACCCATCGCGCCAGACGATCAACATGATTTTATGGGGGAACGAGATTAACGAGGTTACCTTCTCGGCAACAAAAAAGACGAAGGTATCAGTAACCCATAACTAGAGGCTCCGGGAGGTCGCTGAAGCCTGAAGACGATATCACTTTCACGGAGGAAGATGCAGACGGATTGTTGCTACCGCACAATGACGCATTAGTAATTTCTTTAAATGTATTAGATTTTATAATCAAACGTGTTCTGTGGATCCAGGGAGTTTTGGGACTTATTGGAAGCATCATTCCGGCCACAAAACTCCTCGCCGGGTTCAACCTCGCAAACATGACAACCCGAGGAGAGATCCTGCTGCCCACAAATGCTGAAGGGGTGATGAAGACG